CTCTTTCTCTCCTTTCCCCTCACAGAGAAGCGAAAAACGGAGATAGAGAACCGTGAGGATCCCTTCGTTCTCTCTCGTTTTGCCGATCGAGGTCCGATGAAAGCGAAAAGAGCACGTGCGCGAGAAACGTAAAGAAATGTGCTAACGAAAAACGCAAAAAACAGGAATCTTTGGACCCGACTTTCCGAGCGATGCCCGCCATCTTGGTCCCGTCTGACCACCGGTGTGGATCAACGTAATTTCGCGATCACGCTTCTTCCGTCTTCCTTCCTTCCTATTTATCTATCTATCTATCTTTCTCGCTTTTCCCTTTCACTCTTATTTTTTTTACTCTCGCTCTCTTTCTCCTCCTTCCCCCCCCCTCTCTTTCCCCTACTTACTCGTTTTGTCCCGTTAGTTCTCGGTCTGCCTTCTTACTCGTTTTTTTTACTTTGTCTTCGCACACCATAATTACAATAGTCTTTATTCTTTTTATATATATAATATATATATATATATAATATATATCCGTAATCTTATTACATATATACTAGCTGGTTACAATAATTTGTGAAAAATATACATCAAAATTTTGTTACTTTTTACATCACAGATATTTTAATATAATATATCATCTTTTAATTCTTAAAGATTTCTGTTCCTCCCCGTATATTCGACCAATCCGTCACTCGCCGGATTGTTTAGCGTATCGCCCGCGACGAAGGGAGAGACGGCAAGATGTACAAGCGCGAACGGAATGAAAAATTAAAGGATTCTTTTAAACTCTTCGATCGTAAAGAAAACAAACTTACACCTTAAGGTATGCATCTTTTATGCATGCGTTTTATTGCATCGCAGTAACACCATAATTACCGTATATTTCAAACGAAAAACTTCTAGAGTAACAAATATGTTAGAAAAAAAAAAAAAAGAAAACATAACATAACGGAAGGACATCTAAAAGACACCCTGATCTTTTAGACGCCTTTCGCATTTCTTCTAGATTTTTGCCTTTTCCTCGAATAATAATTTCGAATACGTATTTTAGAGATAACGTTACGGAAAATGTCGAATTTTCTTAGTAATTGTCTTCGGAATCGAACGAGAATTGCCATCGCACGGCGCACGAATGTAAACGCGTGCATAAAAGAAACCTTAAGCTCGACTTCTCAATAACCGAGAACAACGATACGATTTCGACTTGAGAGAAGCTTCCGTCGTGCTTCCGTCCCCCCGTCTCCCCCCCAAAAAGAAATAAAAAACGAAAAGATCGACAGTGCTTCAACAATCGCGTCTACAACGGTACATGCCTAGCCTCGAGTTCTCTCATATCCCTTTTCCCGACGATCGCGCATAGCAAATTTCTAGACAGAGAGAAACGGTGATTCCTCTGTAGATTTTACTCGAAGAAAGTCGCCAAAAAGATAGACAAATATCTCCCTCGACGTCGATAATCCCTCCCTTCCTGCGTGAAGGAACGAGACCTTCTCTCGCGTCTCGTCGCAAAATCGCACGGGTGTTCCGTAAGTATCGCGCCAATACGAGAGTCTTCGACGATGCCGCGAGAGAAAGAAGTGACGTACATGCGGGCGTCTGTAGGTATAGTCTGTTACGGCAGACACGTCGACGGAGATCATTACGCGGACGTATCGTTAATTACGTCGTCGATCGTGCTAATTGTCGCGACCTAATCGTTACCCGTCTTAAACTATACGTGGCCGAGCCTTACGCGTGTCACTCTTCGGTCCGCGTCGTCGAAAATATCGCCTCCTTGGTTGAAACGTACACGTATAGTACGTGCCTTGCATGATCAATGATTAATTTCACCAATACGTTACATTCTCCATTTTTTTTTTTTTTTCAAATTTATAACACGCAGATATAACGAATATTTTATATATTAAAAAAAATATAGTTAATCGATTTCGAAGAATTTTTAATCGTACGAACAACAAATTATTATTTTATTTCATCAAACACTAATTATACTAAACTTCTAAAGCACACGAAAGGATTCCATTATATTCCATTACTTAAATTTAATAATTCTCTCTTTTTTTTTTTAATAATGCTCCTTTTTAATTCCTTTGTTTAAATCATTCTTATTTAGTGTATTGATGTTACTCTCTCTTTTTCGTTCAATTTTTGCTCAGCTAACGAATATGTATAAGATTACAGGTACCAATTAACTAACGCATTCTATAGAGAGAAAACCATCAACAATTTGTTCGTCTGCTTCCCGAATCTGATCCAATTAGAAGTAATACGAAGAAAAGGACAGGTATCCGTAGCGATTGCAAATGTATTTTCGGCGACGCGGACGTCGGACGCGAATAATCCCGAATTGTCCCACATTTTGCTTGCGCGCTTTCTAACTTCCCTTGGTGTATCACCCTTTCTTTCGCGATAAAAAGAAATACCGAAAGAGACGGTACCGCGTTGCACCAGATGGATCGTGGAGATTTGAGATCCGATTATAGACCGCACTAAACGTCGCGACGAAACATCGTAACCGTATAATTGAATTAACGACAATCATAGTGTACGCACGTTTACTATCATCCGCACGATAAATATCATTTTGTCACATCTAACGATAAATCTTTCGATAAAAGGTATCGGGCTTTGAATGTTTCTGGGTGTATCGGTGATACGAATTTGCGGGTATATAGGTTTCTGGGTGGACTCTGGGAGGGTGATGAGAGGATAAGTGAGTTAGTGGTCAGAACAAGTGTATAAACATATTTCCCTCCTTTTCGCATAATAATGCCTAATGGTGAACGGTTTAGAAAAAGATTTCGAGGCATCGAATAGATCAGACCACACCGAGCGACTTATACACTTAATCGAAGGTGTGTCTGCGAGGAAGTGAGTGAGGAGTATAGGTGAGGAATAAAAGGGAAGAGAGACACAGGCGGTGGGGTGGGTGGTGGACAGTTAAAAAGTGAGACACAGGGCGAAGGAAGGTTTAAATTTACGTTTACACACAATCATAATTAGCTTGCATTTCGCTTTGTTGCTGTTCAGCTTGTTTTTTTTTTTTTTATAACCCTAAGGAGACCTTAACGTTTACACTCAATAACTTGTTTTCCGCATTTACGCGCGCTTTCTTTAAAGTTACATTATTCACGGTTTTTTTGCTTTAAATAGGGTAAATTTTAAGTTTAGTTCCAAAAAACACCGAGAGAGTAGCCTTGCCTATATGGTTTACTTTTTTCGTAGGTATAATTTTTTTTGCATTAATAAGGAATTTTTGCATTTTTAAAACACCGAACATACATGCCTTATACTTTATGTACAGCCTAGAGTCTTTCAGTCGTTACTTTTAAAGAGAGTCATGAGATGAGTGCGTGTGGATCATCCTTTTTTTTTTTTTATTTCTGCTGCTCCATCCTCCTCCTTTCTGTATTTATTCACGTCATTTTCCCGCAACTACGCTCGACTATGCGAGAAAAATAGGAAATCCTGGCCCGCACTACAGTACCATTTTATTTTTCTTTTCGTCGCCGTTTTCTCCCGTTCGTCTGGCCTCCGATCCTTCCTACTCTGACTTTCGTCTCTGTCAATTTCGTCTTGGTCCAAGGGTCTGCCTGCTATACTAACGAAATGACGAAATCACCATTTTAATACTAATCGCGGATCATCTCTCTGTAAAACCCAATTTTATCCAAAAGTGATGTGGTGACGCCAGTCGCGCACGTCGTTAAATTATTGAAAAAATACGAAAAAATTTTAACTCTCAATTGTACAAGTTAAATAATCTTTTTTTTTTTTATAAGAATATTTCTTCGGAAAATATATATTGATTCTAAATAAAGTTATCCATAAATTTCTGAAATTAAAAATATCTTTTTTAATTTAAGTCTAGATTACAAATACGTTTATTCTAATTAAGTTTTCACCTTCATTGAATTATCAAACACAGTTTAGACTAAAATTCACATATCCACATTTGCATTTAAAATTATTTCTTCCTTACGATAATTATCAATTAAATAAAAAAAATTCAAACTTTCATCAAAAAATTCAAAAAAATGTTCACTAAATTTGAAAATTTATCTTATGTTAATTTTCAAGTATGGTTTCTGTATGACAATCGCGAGCGTAACCAGACGTGCGTGACCGCGTAAATTCGTGGAAAATCGAATGAGAGAGAGAGAGAGAGAGAGAGTGAGACGTGTGGTCGTTCGAAACGTTGATGTTCGTCATTCGTTCGATATTCGTGTCGTCGTTACTTCAAACCGACGGCGGACAATCGAGACGCGCTCGAAATGTCTACCCCAAAATCCGTCCCGACGCGTCACGATGAGTCCTGCTGGTTCTTAATGCATGTGTATATCGCTCGCGGGAACCGCGATGTGTGATAAACGAAAACAGAGAGATTAAAACATTCCTTATAGATTTATTAAGTCTTTTCCTTTTTTTTGCGAAGAAACGATACAACACTGCCTCCGCTCGCGCTGCTGCGATCGCAGCCTCTTTTCTCATCTCTTATTTTTCTCTTCTTCTCCTCTACGCAGTAGAAAATTTGTATTCGTATCAAAAAGTGGGCGTCTCGCGCTTTAAGAAAAACACCTGCGCTTCCGGTATCGGAGAAATCGAATCGAGAGCCGGCGCGCGCACTGCAACAGTATCCTTTCCTCTTATCCCATATTTCTAATTTTGCGTTTATATCTTTCTAGCTCTACCTGAATTGGGCCGCGATTTAATTCCATAACGTGACATCAAAAGACCGCGATCTTCGTGGCCGTAATTACTCACAAAAAAGAGTACCGTTATTTCCTTCTTTAAATTCTCTACGTAAAACAGGAGATAAAAATTACACATATGAAGCCGTAATCACACTAGCGATTGCGCGATTGAGGATTATTTCTCAACCAATCGGAACAAAGCAATCGGTGACTGCTTTGCTCTGATTGGTTGAGAAATAATCCTCAATCGCGCAATCACAATCGCGCAACCGCTATAGTGTGATTACGGCTTAAGAGATCTCTAACTTGATATTATTTTATAATGCTCTATTTCCAATACTCATAATTTCTTAAAATAAAACTTTTTCATTTTCTTTTACGTGTCGAAAAGCTCGAAATACTTCATGCTTATTTAAACAATATTTTATAATTATAAAATATTATAATCTTTCACACTGTTCGTTATACACAGATCCTCCGTAAAAAAGGAATTTCATGGACAATCAAACGTAGGCATTCGTCTCGAATGTGCCAATTACATTGATCGAAAAACATTACTCGTAACTTTGTAGGCAATTCTCAACAACGAAGATCATATCTCGGTATTTTTTTTTTTCGCATTCCTTCCATTTTGCCGCATTCACGTCAAACGCTGGCCTCGAAATAACCGAGATTGTAGAAATATTGTCGCCTCGTAAAAAAGAAAAAACGCGTCAACCTGCGCGCGCCAACAAAAGCCTTGGCTCGTCCTCGCTTCGCACACGTTCGTAATGACCAAAAAATATATGTATATATAATATATTATTCCTTATATAATTATGTCTTCCTTAGTTAAGTAGTGTTTAAATAGTAGATAATAAGTTTTTTTCTTTTTTGCATTAGGTAATTTTACACTCACAGAGGAAAAAATATGCTGTCGCGTCGGCATTTTTGTTCCATCGTTTGACCTTTCGTCGTCGTCCACCGATTGATAGTGGTTGCAGTAATTAATAATCGTAATAATAATCATCAAACGGCTAACATTTTCGCGTTGCACGTGCCCACGTGTGTGTGTCGTACCGCGTTGCGACCGAGCCATCCTCTTCGCGAGATTTAACGGATTCGTGTGTGTATCAGACTTCGGGGTCAGCGCGTCTATCGTATAGAAACAGATTTTCCATCGACGCGAATACCGCGATGCGATTCGACGATATTCGAGGCGCGGAGGTGAGATCTCGGGCAACGCCGCTCTGTAAAGACACGTGCGCGCGCGCAACGCCTAAATATCTCGTTATGTTCCCCATTTTTGTATACTCGCGTATATGTACTCGTTTTGTATATTATGTGTATGGCGTGTGAGTGTCTCGAGTGGAATGCCGGGCTTGTAGAAACGCGGTCGGAATGGGTCCTTGCGTCTACTAAAGCGTGTGTGTGAATAGTCGGCACGATGAACAATGTCGTGTCCTTTATTCCTTACGTTTTCGGTATTATACTCCGGTGCGAAATGTACTTTCGCCGTAAATCGAAAAGGATTTTTTTCCTACACGCGCGCCTAATTCCAGGTTGGCCGGGGCCAGCCGGACGCGGATTCGTACGGCGGGTGTATGCTCTAACTGGCGGAATCGCAGTGGGTTTTTACGGATAGGTTGCGCTTAGCATTTATGCATCGCCACTTTTTGTTCTCCCCTTCTTGCAACTGGACTTGCCTCGCAACGTTCGAGGTTTCTTTCGATCGAAATAGAAAGGTCGTGGGGGAGCAGGTGAGGGGTAGGAGTGGGAGGGGGGACTGGCTGGCGGGTTGTGGGATAATCGAGGGTGCTATCGGCATCGACGACGATATTTGAGGATTCCCTTCGTCCCTGTGTGCTCGAATCGATCATTCGGCGCGAGGAGATTTTTTAAACATCCTCTCCTTAAATCCGTCCCTCTTGCCCGACACAGTCGAGAGATTGGGAAAAATTGTGCGAGCGCGAAGGGAAGCCCCCCGTTCGCGGTGCGCAACAACGAGAAGGCGCACGGGTTCGGTGCGTGTGAGAGATCTGGGCGGGAATGTGGGCTTACTGTATATGGATCTTTTTTCTCCATTTGTTTACTATACTCATAACTTTACTGATAACTGATACTGACTTTCGTCTACTCTACGGAGTCCTCCATGCTGAGCGCGGTGGCGCGCTGTTCCGTCGCCGCCGGCTGCTGGCTGTTAGTCGGCTCGCCGGATCTGCTGCTCGCGGTGTTGTAGCCCCTCTGCAATTGCACGACCAGCCCGCTCACGGCAGCGTATTCCTTTTGTTGTTGCTGCGGCTGAGTCTTCTGGCTCGAATGATCTACTATAAGCTTACTATCACAGGCACTTTTTTTGTCAGTTGACGCGGCGTAGAGGTTGTGTAAGTCCGGGTAGTGATTCAGCTGTGGTTGCTGCTGCTGCTGTTGCAGGTTCAGAGGCTGTTTCCGGTCGCGATCCTCTTGGCCGCCGTTGTGAACCTCGCGCTCTCTGCTGCTGCGATCGATCCTCGAGTCACGGGTGCTGTCCTCGTCCCTGCTACCCGCTCGGGAAATCGACAGAGGTGTCGGCGGTGACGTCAGCCGATCGCTGCCGTCCTCCGTGCGACCTCTCTCCGATGGTGAGGGGCTGAGGTCGACCGTGGGCACGCGCTCCGGTCTCTCTGGCACCATCCTGCCCGTTGGTCCTCGATAACTCTCGTCCTCGCTACTGTCTTGCGCCATCCGCGGCAACGGGGTCCTCCTCGAGTTTCTGCAGAGCTGATCAATCAGTGTCTTGCTACTCATCGTCTCCGGATGTTGCGACGACGACTGCTGCTGCTGGTTTCTCGCCTCCGCTATCGCCCGCTGGTCCCTTGGAACGCCTGTCTCAAGGCTCGACCTGATCAGATTGTCCAAGAAACTACCGTTCGCCCCAGGCCCATCGTAAATGCTTTCCACCATATCGCGCGGCGTTTTCGCCATCGAAGCGCTTCGAGAATTCGAAGTTCCGGCCGCGTCTGTCGTTCCGGATACGCCAACACCATCTCGGTCTCGTTGTTGATGTTGCTGCTGTACCATCGTGGCGTTTCGTTGTTGCTCCTGTAGCCCGCGCATTCTCTGCGATGCGAAATATTGTTCCGGAAGGATCGGCACGTTCGGCGCGCCACCCATAAAGGGGGAGGGCATGAACGGCGTCGGGTTCCAGAAGTTAAAGGGTCCGAATGGCAGGTGGGGCATGCCCTCCATGAACGGAGGCATTTTCAAACCATTCGGACCGGGTATACCACCGGGCGGTGTGAACGGTTTCTGCGGCTTCAGCTGCGGCTTCTTGTCGACGCCAGTAGTGCCCGGCCGCATCGCCGCGGCCGCGGCTGCCGCCGCTGCCGTCGTCGCAGTCTCCTTCGACTTGTCGTCCGGTTGCTTCTGGTCCCTGCAGAAAAAAAAGGATTCAGATTAAAATTTCTACGTCTTGATATAACGTATTCTTTATAATAATTCGCGCGACATACAGTTAAAAAATATAATTCTAAAATATCCTGAGATTTGTCACGTAGACATTGTATCGTTCACGAATAGTACCGATTACTTGTAACTTCACGTAAAGTAAAAAAAAAAGAACCAAGAAGTAAGAGAGATGAACAATTCTTTTATCAAAATAACCAAACGACTTGCCTTTTGCGCGGCCTCATGAGATGCCGCTCCTTGACTTTGTACTCAAGGGTGGAGTGCGGAACTCCGTAAAAGCTGCCAGCGCGATGCACGCTCATCTCACCGCGTTGAACTGCGCGTACCGCTTCGACGAGGCTATCCCTGTCGTAGTTTCTGTATTTTCCGCGTTTAGGTCTGGTACCTTTGCCACCAGTACCCGGTTTCGATTTGTTCGCCTCCTGCGACTGCTGCTTGGATTGCGGTTGTTGCGCTGGCGATTGCTGTTGCTGTTGTGGTGGCTGTGGAGGTGTGTATCGGCCCCTCTTGAACGGACTCGGGTCTGTTATCATAGCCTGCTGTGATGGAACCACACCGGCTGGTTGGCAACCCGGTATGCCAGTCGCACTGGGCGTTTGACCCTCTTGGAACTTGACGCTGATGCTCTTGGCGATGACGTCGCGGAAATTAACAGCCACCGCTTTGCCTACCAGCGAATTCGTGGGGCTGTTAGTGCTGGAAAACGCTGGACTAGCTCGTTCCAGGAGACCCGGACTCGAGGCGGCAGCCGCAAAGCTCTGAGCGAATGCGGCGGAAGTCGGCTCGCCGTTCTTGCTAGAACAGCCCGGCGTGCTGGCGGGCTTGTAGGACGGAATTTTCAAAATCGCTCTGCCCTGAGCGCTGTCACTGGCTTCTTCCTCGATGTTGGGATTGAAGTCATCGTTCGTCATGGGCCCGCGCTGCTGCGACTGTTGATGCGCGGCGAGGGGATGGTGCTGATGGTGATGCGGCTGTGACTGGTCACCGTTCACATTCTTGTTCAGCCTCTTGTCCTCGCTCATCAGCTTCCTCATCACTTCGGGGATGCGATAGTCCCGCGTATCCATGCCTACATCATTATTATTATATCTATAGTAGAGATTCATAAATGTCTGTCGGGGTATGATATTAGCAAATGCATGCTCGTGAAACTAATTAATAATAACAGATATCGAGAGGAAATATATCAAAGCAATTTAATTAGAAAAATTAAGATAAAAAAACTTCAAAATAAAAACTAAACATTTTGTGCTACATTTAGTGTCTTCATCAGCGATACCCAGATTAGAAATATTACAATATATGAACACGATTCAATATGCAAAAAAAATATGATTATGCTACCGCTATTTTTATAACAACTCAAGATATTTGCGAGTACGTATCAAACAGACTATACTCAGGCTTTTCAAGAAAGAAAAATACAACTAAATTCTTTACATGTAACATTCTTTAAGTCCATAATAGTGTAGTCATTATTATAATATAAACAATGAGACAATTGGTATAAATTATATATAAAGACAATATTGAATAATTTTTTCGAATAAACCTATTCGTCGTTGTAGGCGATAAATCAGTTGGAATTAAGCCGAATGGTTAAGGTAATAATTGTAAAAGATTATCAAAGTATTAAAGTCCGATCGTATGTGCAAGAAATTAATCCTTAGTTACCACATTTGCACTAGCAAATTTTCACACTTCGCAGTAACTCTTTAATTTCTTATTTTCTTAGTTTACAATTTTTTGCAATAAAATATTGTTTTTGCTTAATTTTATTATTACCAATAGATTTTTAGAAAAATTTTACCCCCGAAAATCATATGATTGTTCAATTTTGCTGAACTACTTTGCTTTTCTCATTTTAAAGTTACACGGATGAAAAACGGAAAATTCGTACCAATAATGTGGTAGTTGTGTAACCGTAACTGAAAGTGTGGTAACTGAGATTTAATAAAGACTGTAAAGTAATCGTAAATAATATGAAGATAAAATAGAAAGACTTATTTTAAAATTTGTGTAAGATAGATTATTATGAATTAATAAAATTGATAATTTATTTTTCAGGAGATCGTATGAAGGAGAATCTCCTATCTGTGTGTTTCATGGAGTGTGTTTGAGTGATAATTCTATATGTAGGACAGACGGAGAGCCAAGAGACCCTACTTAAAGTTTGTCATTAATAAGTTCGTTTGATAACTCAAATTAAAAATCGTCAATTCAGTGTCTTTCTTTAAATCTTTTAATACTATTTCTTTATTTTTTAATGTGGACCATTTCAAATATAATTTTTTTTGTAGAAATTGGAATCAAGAACGTTTACACTTTTCTGCAATCAATAGAGTTGTTGAAATTTTTTTAATAGTTCGAAATAGCTGAGTATTTTGATGGTTCCAATATTATTTTCGTGTTCTCTCATTCCTAACTGCCCTTCGTCTGTCTTACGATCGAGGTACTACTATCACCGTATAAAATCTTATGTACAAAATTATTATTAGCATAGAGAGGTTTCGCATCTTTATGTGTCCTTATTAAGTGTGTTTATTAATAATTTTATATCCAATTTATTTATTGCAGATACCGTCACCTCTGATATTACCTTTGCTGTATGAGATGACAACTAATTTTTTACCGTTGTTGAGATTTCAGTCCTTATTACTTTATAATAAATTTCGTTTTTCATTAAGATGTGTTCTTAGTTTGACATTTATTTTGTTAAGGATTGTGTTTATTTTCTCTCAACATATTAAATGAAAGTGAGAATGGGACAGTAGGATTAATCTATCAAAAATAGAACAAATAAATCTATCTATCAAATAAATTAATCTATCAACCAAACAATAAATAATGTATTATATAATATATGGCAAAGAGGATTAAAATAGAAAAATAGAAATCTGCTAGAAAGTATCCTTATAATACTAATCTATTATTATTCTATTTTTTGTAACATTTCAAGAAAGATCTAAAAATTCAATCTATGATTACGTTCATATTCTATGGCCTAATTTTAAGCAATTATGATGTCTATTAAAAATATGAAAAATATGAAAGATTTAAAGTAGTTACAAAATGTTATACTAATAATAAAAAAGTATATATCAGTATCAACCAATCATAACGTCTTTTCTCCTGCATATCGACAATGTTAGAGGATAATAACAAGTGTATAAGTATGCCATAGGTATGTTTATACATTACTTTGTTAAAGATAAAATAAAGGTGAGACTTAGTATTTTTTTTCTATATACATCTACCTATTGCCGATCCTTCAGTGGCTAAATTTATCGGGTTAGTGTAAAGAAAGATTTACATCCGAAGATATTAACATAGGTGAATTAATTGTTTCTTTATTTGAGACAGAATTGTATAAATTGAAACTATTATTAACATATAACTTTATGTGAGAAAGGCTATTCATTAAAATGTATTGTATGTAGAAATTTCAAATAATATGAAGACGTTTTAATAATAAAGATTTAATGATGACTTCAACAAATCGTGATCTTGCATTAATTTTTTTTTCTTCAGTGTTTGTCATAATTTTAAATATAAATGTGAGCTATTCAAATTAAATCGCAGTCGTCTTCACAGGCAGAGAAATATCGGCGAACTGATTAACTAGGGCCTGGCTTCTATCGATTTCAGAAGTCCTATTGTAGCGTAATACACTTTTCGGCTTTCCTCTCTTGACGCAGATTGGTTAGTCAGTCAATGGACAAAATAAACTAACACTTATTAGAAATGACCCAAATGCCGAATATCAATACACTACATTATTTTAAAACAAGTTAATTTTATGTTACTACATAAATAAATGTAAAAAAATTACTTTAAATTTTAAAAACATGAAACTTATTAAGAATTTAATTGTAATTTTGATAGACAATCAAAATTGCAATTCTTTGATAAAAATAAAGAATAACTTTAACTATTGAAACAGCTTTCGAGCTATTTGCGATATAATTTTGTAATATCAAAGAATTTTTAGATGAATTAATTTTACCTAATGGTGCAGCGGCAGCCAACATCTTCTGAATATAAGGACCGATGTTCGCGTGTTCCAATCCGGGCCATTCAGCTCCTGTCTCATGTCCTCGTTGCAACAAGTTTCTGAGGGAATCACCACCAGTCCCTTCGAGTGTAGAAAACCTTACGAGATCCTCCAATGACAGCAAAGGCTTCAACAGGGCCTTCTCGACTTCCTTCTCCTCTTCCGCACCGGATAATTCTTTGTCATCCGCCTGTTAAAAAAATTTTTTTCTAGCGTTTTCTGCATATTTTTATGTATAGAAGAACATTTTTTAATTGCAATTATAGTCAAGTTGTCCTCTCGAGGAAAATAAAAGTAGAAGCTTCCACCCCGTCTCGCGAAGACGCGAGTAGAAGCATTGCTCTTCTTATTATCGATAGTCATTAAACAACCATTTCGTTCATTAAACGTCATATTGCTCGTAAATATGACAACTTCTTGTTTGAGAGTGCTTCATCGAGAGGCGTGTGTCTGCAGTGAACGTGTCTTTGTATTATGTGTAGGTGTCAATTGTCCATGTAAATATATACAAAGTGTTTCCTGTAAAGTGACCGCATTGCATGTTTTAAAAAAATATTAAAATGAAGAAGAATGTAATACTGGAAAAGTTGCTTTGAAGCTTTGAAGTACGTTGCACAGACAGATTGTATGTAAAAGAAATCACATGCGCCAGCTTTAATTTTTTTAAGAATCTTGAAAATTACGCTTTAAAGCTTTTTTATAAATTTTAACATTTAACCTTTCTTATAAAAAAAAAAACCAAAACCGATCATTCTTTACACAAAAAACAATATTGAAGATATCCTTTATTTTTCTTTCTTCATCCTTCAATACTTAATATAAGATATTCAATCAAGTCACTTTACACAAACCACTCGGTACACGTCGGTCTCCATCAAATGTAAAATAGTCAAGCACCATGCAGGAGAGCTGCTAATCAGTAAGTGGTATTTTCCAAAGCAGTGGCAAGTGTTTTACGGAAAAAAAATGCTCTCGATGCTCTCAACAGTCAGCTGGTAGATGATAATTGCGGCTATTATACATTTTCCCCTTCTAGTCCTCAATAGAAGGAAAAGAGGGCAGAAATTCATGTAGAGAAAAGCTTATCTTCGGCGTGCATTTCGACGAGAGATACGCCGGAATTCAAGTGCAAAGATACCACTCGGGACTCGTTTAAAGCGCATGCATTGCACTAAAAGTGAAGCAACAGTCTTCTACGATGGGGTTGCTATGTATATAAACGCGCGGTACGCGATCGCACAAAATGCAAGCACGAAAAATGACTTTAACCGTTCTCATGCATACACCGTGCTCGCAAGCTCGGCAAGTTGTACTGTAAAATAACGCCTCTTAGTGTTTTCATGCTAAAGAAAAGTTTAGTTGGCAGACGATTTTAAGTAGCAACTATTACAACCAACAGACCGTGCGATACAGTTATTATTTTTAGAAAAAAAAGTACAATGCGATTAAATGCAATGCAAGATATTTTTTCAATTAAGGAGACGATTCGTATTACGCAGCAAACGCCTCAAATTTAACTTCACAAAATTTTATGATGTTTTTTTCAATCTTACCCAATGTTTTTTTGCAATGAAAATATTATTCTATGGTCTAAATAGTCTAAATATCTTTTTATATACTTTTCTGATATAAACCAAAAGTTTTTACACATTTTAATGTCCTCGGCATCTTCGATTACTTAATTACGATCAATTCCCGTCTCACACATGCTAAAGAAAATTAATCGTAATCAAATCGAGAATCGAAAATTGGCAAAAAATACTATCAGATGACGAGGATTAAATCGAGCTATCACGTTTCGCGTTTAATCTACCGTAATCTTCAATCGCGCGACGGATTGTGATTTGTCCATTTCAAAACAATTATTTGATTGGACGTCTCTGTGCGGAAGATTGTACGCGCGACACACATCGAGGATGCAGAATGTCGAGGTCCAGAAGCGTACATTTACGAATTCCGTGACGCGACTATAAACACCCTTAAGAAAGAAAGATCGAGCTCGGACAATTTTTTCTTTCGTCTCAACACAACCTTCCCAAAAACTTACCTCGAATCTTGCAACCTCGCGGACACCAAGTTGCCGTGTGTTAAACTACAAATAGTGAGATAAAAAAAGTTAAACAGCCCATGCAAAAAACACTGGACACTACGGAGCATCACGGCGACCGATGCGGAGCTGCGTAGACCATCGTCTCTTTCCTTCAGCATATAAGACCACTGAACAAGCACACAGTGCCGTCACATTCTTCTATTAGGTCGACATTTAATTGGTCAGTATTGTACAATATTAAAAAAGAATATTCTCTCTTCTCTATCTGTTATTCTTTTTTTTGCAAAAATTATTTGTAAATTTCTCCGAAAGCATAAAAGCCAAAGTAAATAGATAAAGTGATTAGAAAAATACATATAAAATTCATTATCTATATTTAATATTGAAACTTGATTTAATAATCTTTATCGATAATAAAAGTGTAACATTACTTTATATATAAATGCAAAGTTTAGCAGAAATTTGATCGATGTAATTAAAATCCAATGAAGCTATTTTTAAACTACATCAAATTACAGACATTGCTGGTCGACCGAATATGAATTAGGCGACTATAAGCGTATCATTTAGCGATACAAGACACTCGGTCCACGCGAGATCCACGATCGCCGTGCCAGAGGTATGTTTTGGGGAAGCTTCATTCGTTCTTCCTAACCAAAACCACACTTAGATACAAATGAACGGTATATATTCGCGAATTTTCCCGACAAGATTTCCCTCGTGCATCGTTCGGTTTCCCGCCCCCTTCCACGTTCCTGTGCATGGTAATCGGCCTATTTTGCCGCGTGAATCATGAAGACTTATTACTCGCACGCGGACGATTTAAGTCGTAAGACATCGTATACGATCTCTCGAGTACCCGACAATAATCTATAATCTATAACGTTGATGACTGACTTTGGAAATTACCGTGATTATAATTTTATACTGAGAAAATTATCTATAAGATAACATTTCTCTATATATCGTTTATCTTTTTAATTGATATCTTTGAGAATATTTTTCTTTGACATACGATACATATCGTGCAAATTTATATAAAACATAACTGATAGATATTTATAATCATTATCGTAACGTATCTAACGACAAAAAATAGTTATAAGTTTCCTTTATAAAATCGTTAATCAATCTGATATCAATTTTTTCAACAAAAATCTAATCAGATACTACCTATCTCTATTAGCCTCTTACATATCTTTTCATTTTTGGTGCTATATAATAATTAACGTACAAATATTAACATCTCTTTCAAAATACAATACATCAGATGAAATGCTTGATTTACATCTTCTCGACTTTTATAACATTTGTCTTGTAATTTATCGCCAATATGAATCCAATATGAAATTTGTAAATCAAAATAATCTATATAATTAAACAGCTATGTTAGAGATCATTAGGCACTCGCAGTAAATCGCGGAGTACACGGCGGAATCAACATCGATATTCCGCGTTATTTGAAACGAGTCAATGCAACAACTCCGAAGTCATTTTGTCGCGCTATCGATTCATTTCCGGATGAGAAACATCGGACATCGATAACGGAAACTGCGGAGGATAAAAGAAGACACACGATACAGCATCTTCGCGCATCGCTTCGGTTCGTCACATCATTCCCTCACGAGAATCCCCAGTCGCTGTCTATGCCAATTTGCATCCTCGGCTTTTCTACTCGACACGCGTGAAAGACCGACGAGACTTGGGCACGTGTCAGCGGCACGTTTCCACTCCCTGCCCTCTGCATCTCGACCACTCTCGCACTTCTCTTTCTTTCCTTCCTTCCTTCTTTCTTTCTCTTTCCGTCTCTCTTTCTCTCTCTCTCTCTAGACCTCTAACTATCTTCCGTTGTCTGTCCCCAAAACCTACCTCGTCCACTTGCGGGGGCGGAGTGGTCGCGGAGGCGTTTTGGGTCGTATTTGGTGGTGTTGTAGTAGTAGTAGTAGTAGTAGTGGTGGTGGTGGTGGTGGTGGTGATGGTGGTGGTGGTGGTGGCTGGGGCGCCGGGCTCGTGAGGGTGTGAATGGGTGCTAGTCAGGGACGCGTCCCTTTCGCGTTCCATCGCGAGCTTGTAGACCTTGTTGCGCAGAGTGCTACGCGGTATCCCGTAGATCACCGCTGCCCTCCGCGTGCCAAGCTTGCCGCTCTGGATGTCCCTGAGGGCGGCCTGCAGCTCCTCCTCGGTGTAAGTCCTCCTGCCGCCCCCGGCACCCACCACTGGAACACCACCTGCCGCAGCCGCCGCCGCCGCCGCTGCCGCCGCGGTCACAACCGGTCCGGTCATTCGCGGTTTCGCGCGGTAACACGAGCTGAAACAGCATTAATCAACGTTATATCGAGGCCAGCTGATGGTGTTTTTACCTGCAACGTTGGCAACCGCTCGAAACGTAATTTCGGGATAGCCCGGATAGCAATAGGTATATGGAAATGAGCGGCGAATGAACGCTTGGTGAGTCGAGTTTGCAATATCGCGTCTCTCTAGAACCTTCATCGTGTACTACAAATGTCTATATAAAGTATTGAGAGATGTCACGTAACGGAAACAATTCGTTGGAATTCACATTGCTTGTCAATTACATACATTTCATCGTATATAGGAAAACTTATTTTTGCGCCGCTCGAGTTTTCCATTCCGCTGCCTCGACTTTTAAGATAGCTTCTATAACTATCCCTCAGTTATCATAACAGAGATCTCGTTTATTCCGTCATGTAGAGTAAAGTCAAAGAAATTTAATTAACTTTAGTTTCCAAAACTGCGCATGTAAACAGAGGAAGAAGGAATAAATTTTAAAAAATAGTATCGCCTGGAGAAAAATCAATATCGCATAAAATAATTTACTTCACTGTTCTTCCGATTTCCTTTTATCGGCAGAAAATACAACAAGACGTATTTCGCTGAATATTATATTTCCCATTTGTATTCTCTTTAGAAATTTTATGAAAGAATTGTGGACCCAGTTGAGTCATATAGTTTGAATATGAAACACTTAAACAGCAAATAACAAACACTGTAAACAAGCAAGTAGCCAAGAGACTGCGTGGAGTTCGATAATCGATCGGCCAATGGACACGTTCGATATTCACTCGAGCTTCGTGTATATGTAACAAAGTCAGATTATTCGCCGTTTCTCGTAATGTAGGCTCACGTGTAATCCACGTTTCCTAGAAGCTAACTAACTCGAGAAGCGGCCCGCGTCAAATGGCCACGTGGCCATCCCGACGCTTGCACGTGTTTGGCGTCGTGCCAATGGCGAATTGCGAATCCGTACAGCTTTGATCCTGGCTTCGAGCCATGCAAATTAAGTTTTTCAAACGAGCAAGCTGAAAAACGCGTTAACTCGGCAATTTCTCGTATTGCGTATAATCGATTCTCGCCAGAAAAAGTGACCATTTATGCTTCTTTAAACGTATTTACATAGATATTATTTCGCAGCACGACCGTATAAACAAGATTTATTTGTGATAAGATGAAAATTAAAACACCGGTTAAATTGCCAGAAGGCACAAATCGTATATGAATATATTTATTACGTGTGTTTTTTTCTTTTTAATGATATCATAAATCATCGCCATTTCCTGTAATACACTTAATGTTCGCATTTTTTGCATTACAATTATTCTAAAATGTTAGGTGTGTGCAAATTAGTTGTTTGTGTTCAAAAATGAATTTATTTCCAAACAAAATGAATGAACTGATTAATTAAAGACTTTTTCCCATCTCTCAGGCAATTTTCGAATTCCATCTCGAAAAAAGGACTCGTCTTTGGAGGCGATCATCTTTTCGAAAACGGACCGAACTAATTTGTACTCCCAATATCTATGACGTAAAACATTCATTGTAGTGTCAACTTTCTTTTTTGAATAAAAATAAATCTTATTTTATCATACAACAAAGAAAAAAGTAAACAAAATAATTACACAATACTAATTCAGAATGCATCAATGAATGATTCAACTTAATAAAACTCAAAACGATAATAATAATAATAAAGACTCCTTATAATAAAATAATATAGTATACAGTTTCAATAAGGCTTAATAGGCGCGGTAAAAATTCAGATATTCGTAATCTTTATTATTAAACATTTTTATAAAAAGATATTAACGCGCAATTTTCTTACCGCGCCGACTCCTATCAAGCCTTATTGAAACTGTATATATTAATGAAACTCGAAAAAAAGACAATGTATTGTAAAACAATTTATAAAAGGCAATAAAAACTTTCCTCTTAGCTATTTTTATGTAACAATAATTTTATAAATGTTATTCACACCTAATCGAACCTCGCGCGCGCGCGTGCTAAATACGCGACGGAATTTCAGGCGCGAAAACGTCCAGTAATATTTCGCGCTCGCATAAAAAAAACGCAGCGTGGTACGAAAGTGATGGATATCGGGTCGGTGTAATTTGTCACGGAGCGCAACGATAAGATTAGGCGTAAGAAATCATCGCGGGCTTCGCGCTCCCCTTTCGCCGTCCCACCCCCGCTTGCACCGTAGAGTCCTCCTTTGCGAGTTCGTCGACCTGCGCCGCTGATAAAAGTGCATTTCGTCCGACGCCGGCTCGCCGGATAGGTCCCGCTACGTCAGTATAGTCATCGACCGGCGCTGATTTATCTGCAATTTTTGTTTGTTGGCTCGTCTGCGGTTTTACGCGACGATACGCGCCACGTTCAACGCCGTCGGAAACTCGGTCGGTCTGCGTTCTATACGTGCGTTTTCAGGTTCAACGTTCCGCAAGTAATGTCGTCGCATATAATTTCGAAGAGAACGGTATTCGCATCCGTCAAATAAAACGACGTGTATCTAACCGCGAGGAATTTAAACTTCATCATCGGCTACACATTTCCGTAAAAACATTCGTGTTTTTTATCCGCGCGCGCCGCGGCGCATCGGACTCCTTGTCGCACACCTCCGCGAAAGACCGTATCGCGCGTTATACTTTCGATGTGATATAGTAATTTGTGTCAAGAACGAATTCCTTAACTCAAGTAACAGATTTATTTCTGAGCAACAATGCAGAATTCCCCAAACGCACGAGAGATCTTTAGCAAAGCTGCTAAAAACAAACACTAAAACAGACATCTTCAACGTGAACATATTCACAGATGCCGGAAACCAAGGTTTCACGATCAAACTGCACGGTTCAGTTTGGTAAATTCTGGCATAAATCACAAGGCTCACGCAATCGCGAACCAGATAGTCGTAATCTTGTCCTTCGCAGCGGCGTCAATATCTCTTTGGCCAGCGAACCTTCTCCAAAGCCTTCTACGAACCGGTTTTACTTCAGTACCCGGTGTCTGGTTTTATTGCAGCTCGCCTATTTTTCCAGTATCGCGGACGCGCGTAAGTGCGAACTATATACGTCTAATTTCGTTTCTTCGTGGCTACCTGCCATGAGAAGACACGTTCTTGAATCTAACCAATCGACTCGTATTTCTCATATTATACCTCTAAGAAATTTACACTATTAATAAAATATTAGAAATGCATCGGATCGTAAAATTATCGGATATTGGATATCCGAGAAGGCAATCTTTCAAGTCGGATATCCGCGGATAAAAGTTCACGTTGTTTGCGTCAAATGCAATCAAATTTTGCATCAATGACGCAAACTTTCAATATAAAATTTCAACCAGATATATTTCCGAATACTAACGGTATGCGACTGTCCGACCGGATCACAAAGAAGTACCGGATAATATCGAACAGATATTTACCGGATATCCGGTGCATCCCTAATTGTTTTACTTTAAAATATAGAATAAAAGTATGGAATATTAATTAAGATTAGTATATACAATACAATTAAAAAAATGTTTGCAATAAAATATTTTAAATGGTTACAACATATATAATAATAATAATAGCTTTTTGGTTTAATACAATGTGTTAACGCAACAAATTTTGATTTAGCTTCTTACATGGATGAAACGAATGTGATGAAATAACATGAAAAAAATTAAAACAAAAATCGCGTCATATTAGTGTAAATGACAGTGCTTAAAGAAAAGTATAAAATTAGTCGAACTAGTCTAATTACGCAATGTCCGTTTATAGACGACGCTAAGTACCTTGAGGCTTGTCTACTTTGTAGCACCAAAGTAGAAAAACTTAACGTGCCTATCGCATGAATTTAATAGGCATTACACTATGGGTGCATTAACGATCTAACAACCCACGCAATTCTCGCGTTATTTGAAATTTCGTACATTTATTACAGTATTTAAAAAAAGAATAAAAATCTTCTATGATTAACATGTCCAAAGTATATCGAGTTTAAAATGTGGATTTTTCCAATAAATTATGTTATAATGCGAGTCGGTAAATATACATGGAAAGAACGGTTTTAATGAAGTATCTAAAAATTAGCTGAATACAGATCTGAAAATAATTTTGTTTAGACCGTTAAAATAATTGTGTAGTAAAAGTATAAAATATTTTGTAAACTATTTCGTTTCTTATATCTGTACCTTCGTACTTTTATATGCAGAATTGTTAGAAGGTTCATATTATGTAAAAAAATTCATGTAATTCCATCTTTAAAAAATGGAGGTGATTTTCATATTTTTTTGATGCGTCCACCTAGACAAAAAACATAACCAAAACACATCCTCCTCGAAACTATTTCATTTTCATCTGAAACATTTTTTCACATCATCAAAAACAAACGTGATATTTAGGTGACCTGTTTTAAATGCCTCAATAGAAGGTACGAATAAAATTTCCTCCTTAATACATCTATTGAATTGCATGTAATATATCTTGATTACCAATTTGTGAGTCGAAGGATGCTACACGTTACTACTTTTTTCATCTTCGGATGCTATATGTGACTTTACTTTTATCGAAAATTGATGAATTTGTGTTTTTTGTTTTACAATATAATTTTGGAATATATTTAAGTCTCTCTTCAGAAAAATATAATTAATTATTTTAAAATTGTCTCTTTCGTCACATTTATGAACACTATAAATTGCTGTATATTTTTAATACGATATAATATCAAACGCCTCGGTAGTCTAAATAAGGCTTGAGACTCGCACGGAATGCAAGATATCCGGATTCGACTCCCGGACGAGGTAATATTTTTCGCAATGAAAAATTAATTATTTACAAATTTTAATATGTCATTAAATATTATTATGATTAATCTAAAATAAGCAAAGAACAAAAAAATTGTTAAATTGTTAATCTATTTAACTCGTGATATTACTGCAGTAGAGTTGCGTTTTAAATCTGAAAAATTGTTTTATCGGTTCATTGGTTTTAATGCAATATAATTGTAATTTATATCCTTAGATTTGTTAAACTAAATATTGAAATACACACATAAAAATTAAAACGTTGACACGCTAGTTTTAAATTAGGTTTAATTTCGACTCGACGATTTCGTTGGCGGTCCTATCTTATCGCTAATTACGCGCAGTCGTATATACATATATGCGTTGGCGCGAACTTCTCTCTCGCCAAGACCTCTTTCTTTTCTCTTCCCCTTCGAACTTTCTTCCCTCTTCTCTCACTCGGTTCCTATCTTACTCTCTTCACTTCTTCGCTCTCTCTTTTGCACATTCCAGTCTCCCCTTTACGTTCCTTCATTGCGCTCCGCGACATACACGAGGTACTCTGCATCTTCGATATGTCAGGAGGTGCAGATTACGGTGGACTAATAATAGACGATGATAAAAATTTGACGCGCAAAATGTTCCGCGGGGGAAAACAGCGAAAACATGAGAGCAATGTACTCCAATGATCTGACATATTCAATTCGCTCGAGCTACCGATCGTTTTCATTTTTCACGAATCGTGCGATAAAGATAAAAATTGTTATTGTGATTGCCAGAAAAGATCTTGCTTATTCAAGATAAAAATTTAATTTTTGCCAATCGATGTAATATATTTTGTATTTTTCCAAAAATTTAATAATGATCAGAAAAAATTGGAAAAATTTTAATTTTTCAAAATAAAATTCAAATTTTACTGAAATTGATATTCATCTATTACTAGGATTTCCTAAATTTTGATCTAAGTTGTACAAAACTACATATATAAATATCATATATTTTCATAGTCTCTTTCGTACTGTCTTCGCGATAGGAAAAGGAAATAAAATATGTATAAAACTTTTCCCTTTGTTGTCATTTATTTAGGCGTGGATAGGTTTACGAAATTTGCTTCATCATGTTTCGTATTCGAGACCACAAGCGAGTTGCATCGATTCTGTGAAACGGACTGCTTAAATATTTATCGAGGTACGTACCGCAGACGTATAACAGTTTAAAGCTCAAAGGGTTGTAAAGTTCAAGCAACTCGTCGGTATTATTACGGTTTGTAGGATACCGGCTGCTTACCACGATCGCACAAACGTATTACAACGAAATTTTTTCGTACAGTTTAAAACACTAAAGCGCGATACATTAAACATTTATGTGGGAGAGTCGTGCAATAAGCGATCTCCTAGTTGTCGCAGTTTAATCAAAAAACGTAGTATTCTCTTTACGTTCCAGGAAAAGTACTATATACTACTTTACGTTCCAGGAAAAGTACTATATACTACAGTAGTTTCTTTGCACGAAAAAACGAAAATTTTTTTATAAATTTAAATTTAATAATTCATAAAATAATTGCAATTTGCATCAAATTATTTTCCAACATCCTTTATAATGATAATATATAATATATATGTGTGTGTATATAATAGTCTAGACTAAATTCTGAATGAAATCGTTTATTTCTTTATAACTATTATCTATTTAATTAAAAATTTGAAAAAACAAATTTTAAAATTACAAAACTTTTTAATCCAATTAAAATTTCATTAAACAATTAAAGAAAAATAATTGCAGAGAATAATTGTAATAATAATTATATTAAATACGACATTCTTTATGTAAAAAATAATTCGCAATAATAGTTGATTGTCAATTCTTTAAAAGCATATTGTTATATAAATGATAACGATATGTATGATACATAAATGAAAACTTAGTTCAATAAAAAAAAATATGAATCTACCAGATCAGTCGCGAGATTAGTAATCATCTTTTTAAGTTAGTGCAATACAAATTGAGGGCCCATTGAATTTATAATGTGACTTTATTTATCCAGCACATAAATTTTTTGCAAGCCAATTGGAATTATCATCGTTTCATTGTAGCAGCGTGATAGCTACGAATCGCGAGAAAAACATCGCACCCAGACAGAAAATTCAGAATCGTTCACAACACCGAACAATTTAATTAAATAGTCATAATCAAGTATTTTGTCTTAAATATATTAATATACAGTTCATTTCATCATTGTTTTTTTCATTATAGTTCAGTTATATTTACTCAAATATATTAATAAAAATCATATTAATTTTAAATCATTAATAAATGAAATAAGTAAAATTTGTAACGAATAATATTTTTGCGTGTTTGTATGTACATTAATTTTAAAGTGCTATTATTTTTCCTACAGAGAATACAGCATACATCTTTGACGCGTCTTAAAAGATAATCGAATGTTCGTAATAGTATTATTACGATCGACTTAATAAAACCTCCAAGTTCACCTAACGAACTTGACTCCGTCGCGATCCTAAGTTCCGATCGCATCTCTTTATCTAACAGTTTCTATTTACCTTTAATACAATTATAGCACAGATACTTATGAATTATTCAAACGTAAAACTGGTTTAATGTTCGATGAATTTATTTTTTATAAAATATAATTGAAAATGGTAACCTCTATAATTACAAACAATAAAAAATATGATATTTTTAGTTATGTAAACAAGCAGATTAAGACAAAGAAGATGACGAAGATTTTAATTATATCACACCAATTGACGGCGATTTTATTCCGTATATTTATATCCGGATAAATCCGAAAATGCAGCACACGACCGCGCGAACTCGATCAGCCCGCACCAGTGTCGAGCGAACGATACGATTCCCCTCTGCCGTTGTCGCGCATGACGTCTTTACGAGGGAGATAAATCACGGTTATGCCCGGCCGTGTGATTGGCACCTAATTGCGACGGCATTCCGGATCGACTGGCTGTCAGTTTCGCGATTTTCGAAAGTCGCTCGCCTGCGGTGTTTTAATCGACGCCTTATCGAAAAACGCCCGCTCGGCCCGGCTTAAACGGCCACTCGATCACGAAGAACGCTCGCTACGGAATGCGATCGCGGGTCGTATTCTTTTTTTTCCCCTCCACACTCGCATACGGAATGCATATTCGTATCGGTGACTCGCCTCGAGGTGTAAAGCGAGTTGTGCGATAACGCCGAAACGACGCCTCATTGTCGTTGACAAACGACGATTTTTCCAATGTGTGGGAAAGAACGTTCTCTCATCGAAGCCAAATATTTCGTACGCGAGTTTGGGCTTGTCATTTCCATTTGGCTTCTTTTTTCCGTTTTCTAATGCGCACTTTTAGAAAGGACTTTTATCTCTTATCACTTTAAATGTGGAGTTGGAATACTTGTAAAACATTTATCGCTTTAACACTTTAGCATCGACACATCATTAGTTCATTAACATCACAAAAGGAAAACAAATTTTATGAATAAAATTAAATGAAACGTTTGAAGGTTGGAGGTATAATATAAAATTTGTGCAGGATTGAAATCTTTTTAATATTTTTCAGGTTTTTTTTTGTGTTATATAGCTATTCGATTAAGACTACATTCTAAGAATTTCTTTTCATTTAATTTAAAAAGTTTGATATATTCTATATTCATCACTTCAACGAATCCAAAAATATGAGTGTGTGCTTTCATAAATAACGCATAGCATATATTTCAAATATCACTTTTTTTTATTTCTAATATCGTTTCCTATTAAGTAAGGAAATGTAAAAAGATTACTTACTTGAGGATAGTCTTGGGATCGATGCCTGTCGGCATTCTCAGAGGTATTTTCTGTTGCTCCAATAGAGATATGTTGTTGTCCTAAACAAACAAAATGAATAACAGCATTAGCATAAAAAAACCGTCGAGTGAAAAAAAAGTAAAACAAATAAATAACTTAATATTACGCAAGCATACAGCCTAGTTACTTAGACGTCAGCGTTAGTCACTTAAGAACAAGACTAGGAAGCACTAATAAAACACACTATATGAAAGGAATTATTGTTTAGCAATACATGAAGTAGCGATCATCGCGTAAATAATGATCGTATCGTGACAGCCCACTAAAAAGTATGAATAACAGTTACGAATAATTTGCATCATCGTTTACAATCGTCTCCACTCAATATGATCCTTCGTCAAACACTTGGCGAATCGCACAACGTACAATCGTCTTATCACGAATTCAATGTTCAAATAAATTTGAACGAGCACATTGCAAAGAATAATGAAGATGTTGAGAAATACCGTATGTTTTTTTCACGCGGTAGAATGAACGGTCTCGAACTTACCTGAGAATTTCTGGGTTTGGCCGAAAGATCGAGCGGTTGATCGGCCGCCGCGGCGCTGTCCTGATGGGTCTGCACCCTAACAAGGGGCGCCTCCCTCGGCGGTAAGCACCATTGGGGCAGCAAGGTGGGGTAAGTGCCACTGAGAGCGGCGGCGACCACGGACGCCGCCATCGGGTCCACCTGGACCGACATCGGTGACTCCGCCGATCGCGAGCTGCTGCTACTGTCGCTCTGCGGACTCTGCGGGGCACAACACGAAGAAACGTGTCATCCCGGCTCGCGCGATACGAAAAGGAACTGCCTGACTGAATAGCCGGTGGATATTGGTCGGACGACAGAAAAGGACACCAGGGTGAGATCCGCGAGAAGACGCGATGGCGGCAAGATCGAATTCCGATCGAATTCATTTCTCGTAAGCGAAGCCGCCTTCGCGAGTCCTCGTGAATTTTTTATGGGCGCGTCAAAGTGATCAAAGCTGAGAGGCTGTACGGCAAAGTACGAAGTACGTTCGACTTAATCAAAAGTAGCAAAGAAGGCTATAGGTTGGACTCGAGCCGCGATCGCGACGACACAACAGCTGCAGAGAGGAACGAAGGCTGAAACGAGATCCGATGTCGCGATGTTGCATAAGTGCATTGCAGAAGAAACGAGCAGCATTAGTGTGTGCACCGATTTGTCTACCGATCTCGATAAATTGTCGACAGGACCGCTGAAATAATTCGAGTCATCCGAAGCGCTCGTCGCAGGATCGCAGAATCTCGGGATTCGAATTCCGCGTGAAGAAAGATTACTTATGCCGTTAATTCGTTTACTTATTCCGGTCCGCATCATCCCTTTCGCGAATAATCTCTACACAAAATTAGCAATGAAGGACGAGGTCGATGCTCAGCCATGCGCAACCTCACACTCGGCAGATTCGCCGCAGGGTACTTACAAGGGGCGGCTGGTCGTCGTGGGGTAGTTTGCCGTCGAGGCAAAAGTAACACTTGTCGAGCGGCTTCCAGTCTTCCGGCGGCGGGCTCGTACGTCTCCCAAGGAGAAACGGTGTCGCGACGCTCGTCGCTACTGCGTTCCCGTCGCGGCATAACAACCCCGACCTGGTCCCTTCCGAATCCGTCGCCGGCGTCGTCAGTATCGTGGTACCGCCAGAACCCGGTACTTCCTGTAGCTCCTCCTCTTTCTTTACCCTCAGTAAGCCCTGTGTTACCGGTGCCCGCTCCAACGCGATTTCCTCCTTTCGTTCCTAAAATTTAAAAACATATATAGAGAATGTGAGACAAAATTTTCAAGTTGCTTTGAAATCTTCAACGATTCATTAAAATTATTTTCATTATTTTCTTGTCGAGCTAGTCTCTCTAGAGTAATTATTATTTTGCTGTTTTTCTCTATAAATCTGTTCTTTTCAGCTGAACTTTTGCACGGTTCACCTTTTTCTCCATATTGAAAAAAAGGAGTTATAGATAAGTGATTATTACACAGATCTATGCTAACCTTGGTCCCTTCCGTATCGGTAGCGTTGGCAGTCGGATGAGTCGCACGATCGTTCTCCGTTCTGAGAGGGCTGACCGTCGACCTGTCGGCGTCCTCGTCGAGCTTGAGCCGTTTTTCCGCCTCGTTCTGGCCCCGTCCCGTTTCCTCGTCGTTCTCTTCGCCGTCCTCCTCTCCGTCGACGTCTTCCCCGTCGTTTTGCCGGCGTCCGCGTCGCCGTCTCGTCGCTATCGTCGTCGTGCCGGTCGTCGTTGTCGACGTGGTCGCCGCAATGCCGATGGTCGTTGCCGTTGTTGTCGCTACTTCCGTCGTCGTCGTCGTCGTCGTTGTCGTTGTCGTCGTCGTCGACGTTACCGTATCCGTCGTCCTCGTCGAGGTGTCCTCCCGCGCGACACCGTCTGCGAGCTCCTCGTCGGCGGCTTCGATCTTGACTTCGCCCGGCCTTAGACGGCGCGAATCTTCTTGCTGTTGCTGCTGTGAATGGTCCTGAACTGGCGCGGGTAGGTGATGGTGGTTCTGCAGATGATGCCTCTGCAGACTCTCCTGTTTTACCACGCCGGTCGCAAGCGTCGTCGTCGTCGTCGTCGTCGTGGTCGTCGCCGTCGTCAGCACCGTCGACGACAACGACGTGGGTGCCGGGTGATGCAGCTGCGAGCCAATCTGGTCCAGGCTCCCGGGTATCGGGTTGCAGGACGACGACAACGCCGGGTAAAGCCGATGGTGGGGCTGTGATTCGCTGCTGCGGGTGCCGCTGTACAGGGTGTCCTGGTATTGCTTCCATCTCCTACGGCCCATCAACTCCTCTGCTACCCGTTCCAGACCTGCGACACCACCGCAACTACATCAAACAATGACGTGCACCCGGGACCCGTGTACGTATATATGGAGCTTTACTTTCTATAAGTCAAACAAACATTCGATATGCTGCACTCGGGACATATTTGAGATTGACAACGATTTCAAGACTCCTATATATTCACAATTAAGCTCGTATAAACAAGCTAAATACCCAAATTATTATCGAAAATGAAAACACAATAACATCAAGCATTTTACATACCTTTTGATAAATTTTCGTCGAATGTGCTCATTAATCAATGCCTAATAAGAAACTACATAAAACTGAAATACTTGATTGCAGCTTCAATAATTTTTTTCAGGCAACTGTATAAGTCTGCTACTCGAAAAAATGGAATATTAGATCTATGTACATATATAATGAGCACGTTCGACCTCGTCGGCTAAAATATAGGGTGCGTCACCAAAATCCGGACGGATCGAACAATTTCTTTAAACAAAATGTTTTTAATGAAAAATTAAATATTACAAAAAATCCTTTTACGTGGCACTTGGGGGATCCCTATAGAGCATAATTATTCGATATATCCCCCATTAGCTTGAATGACGGCCTCTATTCTCGGTCCGAAGCGTTCGCGCGCACGCTGTAATGTAGCGCTGTCCGTGCTGACGAATGCTGCCTCAATAGCGGTCCTTAATGACGTCACATTAGGATGCCGAGACTTGTTAGGGACCCTTTCAACCACGCTCCATACGTAGTAGTCCAAAGGATTTAAATCTGGGCTGTCGGGAGGCCAGAATTCCTTGGATCAAAACATATCGACATTGTCTGAGAGCCAATTTTGAATTAAACGACTCGTATGAGCCGGTGAACCGTCCTGTTGAAAAACGTATGGTCTTCCGGACGCCACAATTTCCATCCACGGCTTCACTACATCCATTAGAACGCGCGAATACACTTCTTTTGTGACAGTTTCCCCTTTTTTAAAGAAACGTGGTGGCATGACATCACCCTCACTCAACCCGACACCTAGCACGTGAACATTGGCCTTCGTTGGACTGTTCTAAAGTCGTAAATTTGGCCACACAACGTCATAAACGATTGATCTCGGCTATCCAAAAAAATCGAATTATTTCCATTGCTGAGCGCCCAGCGCGAAGGCCTTCGATGATCGCGGCTCTTCGATTATACTCCGCACTTGGTTTCAACATCGCGGCCATTTTGAGAATATGACCGTTTACTAGAAGCATCAGGCTTTTTCGGAAAGCCAATAACATCTTTTGGCGGAGGCACAATACAGTAGAAAATTTCAATTGAAATTCGTCCGGATTTTGGTGACGCGCCCTGTACAAACTTACAATTAATGGATTGTTTCGTTTCTGGTCTATCAATCTCGGGTTTCTCGAATAATTGCGTGGTATCACATATGCCGAAAGCCGGGTGATACGTCCGCCAAAGTATACTCGCCTGAATGTTAACTATCGCTATTGTAATCGTACACGCTAAAGTATAAGTGGTACGCGGTTTTATAATCGCGGTTGCATAATCGTGAGTTACGCGAAATGTGCCCGTTGCGGATGACGATATCTAGCCCACTGCACAAATTCACGCACGCGCATCGCTGTAATGCGCACGGCCGACTTGTTTGTCATAGGAAATGATGGACGATGATTAAGGTTCCAGAGAAAAGCACACGGATGTTCGTAGCTGTACGAGACGCAGATGCAGTTCTTCCAGCGAGAATCGCACGCGAAATTATGCAGATCGCGCGCGATTGAGTAACCGGACATGGTGGTTTTCGAAGGACACGGCTACGCGTATATAGCAAACCGAGAGAAAAAAAAACTGCGTTTGCAAGAAGAATTCACTTTTTTTTTTTCGTTTTTTCATGACTCAGAACGTAATTCAAAGAGTAAAATGTTCACGATTATCAGAACTTTATCGCAACATTTATGAAAATGCCCGAGGACTTAATTATACGTATAGGAACGAAATTGTTATAATATAATTAATCATTTCATTGCTCTCTCTGAGTACATAAACGCTTTGTGCGAATTAAAAGGTATGGAGACGTAATTTTCTTAGAATTCTGCGAATCTTTACATAATTATGAGCGCTATTGGACCGTCGCGAAAGTTTCATTGGCACTGCTAAAAAAAGGAAGAAACTTTTCCCGTTCGATACTTCTATTGAGTAAATGTTTCGAGGAAGGTAAGAATATGGCAAAATAACGCTCGCTACGTTCTTACATAATTTCTAGAAATGCATTCGAACGCGCTTAATATCTGAAAGACGTCGGTTTTTTTTATCTCACAGGCAGCTGTAATTCGCTTACGCCAGTTATAATTCCGCTCCACTCCCTAGAATGATACGGATTCGCGATAACGCGATTTTTTCCATTTCCTTATCCAAAGGCCGAATAGTTGACCGTTATCACACCAGCATGACGTGTTTAACTCTGCCGCGTCGTCGGCTCCGCGTCGAAAAGATTCCCGAGCGTCAGTTCAACGCCGGCGGATGCTGTTTAATCATCAGCGGGATTTTACAAATTATGATATTTATGCTAGTCGAAACAATTATCAGAGCCACGCCATAGTACGTTGCGATACATGTGCATTTGTGACGGATGTTAATTTCCTGAATAAATATTTAACATCGCGGAAATATGCCCGCCAGCGCGAGCTTGTGTTTTTCGCTCGTTCATTAATTTAGCAAACAGTATTCGATATTCATTTGAGCAAAAGCTACGTGATCCCGTCGTACATTTCGTCATCGAAGAACCGTGAAAACGATTTAATTTGTAATGTTCAAATTTAATTTCACGTCAGATGTTTTCTCGCTCCAACTGCATCTGTTTTACGGAAATTATACTTGAGATTTTCGAAAACTTACCCAGTTCGCTCCAGAGGGGTTTGCAAGCTTTGCTGGATTTAAACCCGTAGTATTCTTTAAATAATAATTTATATAGACACTTTTCAATCAAAATTATCATACAATTTATCGTTTCTCCCTTTTCCACCTTTCGCGAATTTCAAATAATGCGTTCCATTGTGGATTTATTTATGCACGAAAAATAGAATTTACTCGTATCGTCAGTCTCCGATTCTCAAAGAGCACTTCCTATCCCCGATTAAACGCAAACCAACTACAGTCGGCCAATTACAACTTGTATCAACCAATCCAACCGTCCTTCTCGGCGCGGCGGACACCCGGTATCGCGGCGCGCGTGCCACGGATGCAACGTACCGTCACGCCAATCGGTACTCGGTACGATGCACCACGTGCATACGTTTCGCACAATGTGTATAGATAGGTGCAGAGACGCGCGCGTTTCTACATTTACGGAGGCGATCGTGAATGCACGTATATACGTGCAAAATATATATCGCGTGCGAATCGAGTCCGAGCGGCGATTTTTCATGCGGCGCCCGCCTTCATAGCGCTCTGAATTGATTTTGTCGTTTGCCGCGCGGCGGGATGGTCATTAGGGCCGCAAAGAGTCGGTCGCGGGTCAACCACGGCACGTCGTTTCTGCGAAACGCGTTGTTTCTGCGGAACGGCGGGGAATTCGCAAATTAAATTGCACTCGGGATCGATTCGACCGCTCATTGGCGTACGATCCGGTATGTCTTGGAATTTCGAGGCTTTTGCTGGCGGCCGTGTGCGTGGATCAGTTTATGTTAACAATTTGGTTTAATCTGGATTCTCAATAAATCATTTTGAAGCATAATTGTTTATAACAGAGAGATGAAGAGTCAACGTGTTTAATTAGCTCGGCTCGACGGAAAATTCACACGAGCCCGAAAAGAAAGAATACGATAAAAAAAAATTGTGTTCCGTGACAAAAGAGATCGTGGATCGCGTCACATTTTTCCATATAAAACGCTTCGAAAAATATTTTTCTAAAAATATAAACCTCATTATAACGAGAAACCGCAATGTAACGCGTACCGACTGCACCGCTTAATTTAGGATCAATTTGCAGTGGTCCAACGGCTTTGTGATAAAGCAGAAAACCGTTGAAAAATTCAGAGAGGAAATTTCGGCAGATTTAAAACAACGCGTGCACATTTTTTACCTTCGTCAATTTACAAAGAACAATATCACCCGTATTGAAAATGAATGAGTGACTGAATTATGATGCTACTTCGAAGATTTTCTACTGTATATTGCACATTTGCATACAATTGTATTCTAATAACTAAACCACACGAATGTGTAATTTAATTAAAGCGATGCTATGCGTCGAAGGTCATCGAAAAGCAGATATTTTCATCTATAACGCTTTAAAGGATTTAAATGATATAGGAAATTTTTTCACAACGAAAAGCAGAGTAAGTGGCCTTGTTGATTCACGGTAGTACAATCGTGAAAACAATTTCGAAAGTCCATTAGGCTCTTTCTCTAAATTAAAGTCTGCTAAGGTCGGTTTATCTCACGCAAATGGACATTCGCGTACAGCTAATTATTCCGCGGCCGCAATTATTATCGCCTGACTCAACGGCGCGTATCGGAGTAAGTTTAATCGTTATTTTCTTCGAGGAACATTTGCGTCTCTGTACAATCCGAAATAATCTGTCGTCGCGTATCTCCGAAGCAAACTTCGAGAATCGAAGCTGCTCGATTACGTGTATCACCGTGCGGAATTTCGCGAGCGTAATGAGTCTTACGCGTTTTAGTCATTAATTAGTTCAGTCGTTAATTATGCGTTTCGCTCAATAATTATTGTATTATTGATTTATACCTATATTAGCGACCAATGTGCGACAGAAGAAATTACATATTATGCGGTATGGAATATCGTTCTAATTGTCTTGCAAGTAATAAAATTTTATGTGCCAACTAATAAAAATTTAAAGATTCCATTTTTAAACAACTCGCAAATTTTTATTTTACAAGAAAGTAATTTTTTAAAAATGTAAGTTCAATTATATTTAAAGTTCAATAAAGATAATAAATATTTATTAACATAATGCAATTTGATATTGAAATTATTAAATATATAGTGCAAGATTCATAGTA